AGAGGCTGTCTGTGTGTGTGTTCGGAAAGCGAGTGCATTTTGTCACCCACTTTCATCTCAGCAACCGGAGAGCCTGGTGCGTTCCAGCCTGGGTTTTTTGTCGAATATCACTGGGTTTATCACACTAGCTTTTTTAGAACTAAGATGTACTTTTTGAGTGTGCAACAAACCAACAAAATAAAAAAGAAATTACGAAAAAAAAGAACTTTACATCAAAAGGGAAACTTAAGTTGTCGAAACTTGAGATTAACTTAAACTAAATACTTTATATCCAAAACCAAATAAGTCCGAAGGCGCGAAAGAACAAAGAACCAGGGTGCGTAGGTAAATGATTATGGAACCAAACGAGTGGTGGGAGAATAAAAGCAGAATGTAGTATTTGCAACGTAGTATTTGGAACAAAACACTCACCAAAATCTAATGTGCCAGCACTAAAAATACTGTTCACTTTTGGGGTAATACAACTTCATAATTCACTGCAGTGCGATGTTCGCAGTAAAGCACTGCTAAGAAGCTTAATCATCTGCCATGTTTCTATCAAGGCACTCTGTTCCTTCGTTTTGATTTGACTTCTTGGTCATATCTCCGAATCAGTGGAATTGAGGAAAAGGCTGTTCATTTGACGCAAATAACCGATGCGTTAAATCAGGCATAAAAACAACGTGCCAGAAGCATTCACTGACAAAGAAGGCAAGACAGCAAATCAACGAATGAAATCCACTTGCAAGGGTTCTCGCGGCCAACTTTTCTCATTAGTCGTTGACATTGGAAGTCCACATTCGTCTGTTTGGCTCTGCAGCAGCTATGCAAAAGGCATACTGTCGAGATCGTGTATGTGTTTGTCTTTGGATTTGTTCGGTTTATGAACTTAGCAATCAAAAGTTAGACTGCTGTAGTTTTTTAGGACTTTCTTGTCCATGCATGACCTACAAGTCTAAGATCCGCCTTCATGCATGCTTAGGTGCCACATACAGACATGTAAAGCTTTTGTGAGAAAATTTCCAACTTGAGGACTACACAAGACAAAAAAGTGAAATGCTAGAAGGATGCTTCGTATCCAAGGGCAGTTCTAAAAATTTGAGTTCAGATTTCACGTATCTGTTGCAAAACTTAGACCAGCACTGACGCAAAGATCAATAGTAGTCGCACGGAAAATGAGTTAAGGGAAGAATGTTGAAAGTTCGCATGCTGCAACACAACCAAAGACGACTGCAATCGCATCTTGGTAAAAGACAATTTAATAAAGGAAATATATATCAAGAAGAGAAACTGGGCTCATCTAATGGCAAGGACGAAGACAGATGGATGAAACGGAAACAGAGGAAAATATGTTTTAAAAGGGCAGAAGTAAGGCAACTGGCAAGATGAGCTGATCCATTAACTAGAGTGCATGAGCTGACGCCGTTGTGGGAATCACAAGATCAAAATCAGTGAAAAGTTGCCAGTTGCACAGACAGAGATCCAGACTATAAATTAATACCTGTTCTAGGCATTTCAATTAATATCAATAATTTATCTATAAACCCGTCGAAAAGCCTTACAATGAACTGTGCACCAGAAAATAAAAATAAAATCATGGCATCTGCGACGTATCATCCCCAACTGAAGTGTTTAACGCCAAGGAATTTCCCAATAACATCAAGAAACAACTCTAATTTATCGTCGCCGGTAAAAGTTTTAGGCCAGAAAGTCTTTGTCAAAACAGTCCCAAGCTCCATCGCTACCGTATCGCGCAAATGTTCCAGCTGCTCGTCAGATTCGTTAGTCTGCGGCTGCTCGTCACAGTCCGTCATCGACGACCGTACGGAGCAGTAATCTGCCAATAATTTCAATCGTTCTTGATAGTTTGGATAATGCCGGCGCACTCCAGTCACACTGTTGCTTCTTTTAACCATTGCATCACGGAGCATTTGCTGGTATATGATATTTACAAAAATATTCATAGGCCCGAAGGGTCTAAGACGATTGCTCGTAAGGACAGCAACATCTGACATCTGCAACAGATCAGTCATCTCACTGGGCTGCTGCTCTTTGACACTCACTGATCCAACAGCATCCTGATCATCCGCAACACTATCTATCTTGCGAAGA